TGTGTGTGTGTGTGTGTGTGTGTGTGTGTGTACTCACATCAATGAGCTGTTTGACTTCTGGCTTCCGCAGATCACTACTGATCTTTGCAGCTAGCAGCACGCATGCTGCTGCCACCAGCTTCCTGTTCTGCTTGTTGAGGCGACCCTGCAGCACCAGCTTCTCAAAGTAAACAAAGGCCATCGCTATGGTTACGGGCTGCAGACCGCACTCCTCGCTCGCGAGCCGCATGTCTCTCTTCAGGCTAGCGCAGGGGAAGGGGAACAGTTACCGATCAGAAGAGTTTGTCATGTGAGGATGTAAAAAGAGGTTCAACCTTCAGAAAGAGGAAAGTTTGAACATCTACGTGGAACTGAAGATATCTGTACCTCCGTATCTTGCTCAGTGTCAGCTGAATGTGAGGGAACTTCTCCTTGAAGGTCTCGTTCATGTTCTTCTTCAGGTCAGAGGGCTTCACATACTCGATGACAGTCGTCTGCAGAGACAGCGACAAACAACAATTAGCAAATTCACATGACTTAACAGAGACACCAGGTAAAACAGAGGAGAGAACTTCAAATAAACAAGCAGCACATCAGTAATCAGACCTCTCCCCTAACCACAACCATATTTTGAAAATATGGCTCTATTATTTTCACCTAACAGTGAAAATAATAGAGCCTGTTGGTTGAGAATTTTTTATGTGTGTGTTTTTATCATAACAGTGAGAGGAGGGACCGACAGACAGGTGTGTAGAGAACTGTGGCCATTTTAAAAAGGTACGAGTCATTACACAGATGATGCAAGTTCTGTTTCAGAGTTCGGTTTCAGAGCAGCAAAGAAGAAGTGATTTCCAGAAGCGTAGCATTCTCCAGAGCCGACAGTTTCAGTGCATTTGTTTTTTCAAAGGGTTTAACCTGAGCGAGGCCACAAGACGATGACAGCACTCATCACTTCCATTGATTAACTGATTATTAATTTACTTCTAGAGGCTAAAACATTTGCACAGAACAACACCTGAGGAAACCACATTTCTCTGAACCCCTATCCTAATTACAGAAACTTGATTTTTATTTTACTGGACATTTAACTGGTGACCAGACACCAACACTTTTGAACTGAATAAAAAAATAAACTCACCACGTATGATGCAAATATAAGAACCCTCTTGTGTCTCCCACAGGGCCACTGAGGGTCACTGAGCAGGTTCGGGTCGTACTCCACCACCTCCTCAACATCTGGAAACCACAATAAACGAACAGCGTTTGTAAAAACATGTCTGGTCAGTCAAAGAGCCGAGAAGCAGGTGTGTCTCTGTTGGACAGAATTTCAAACATACTCGGCTCTTGCGTCACACTGTTGTTGAGACGACCCGGGGTGAAGTTCTTCTGCCCGTTGCCACGGAAACGCGACTGAGGGGTCTGAGCTGTGCCGTTCTCCGGCACGCTGCCGCTCTTCTGCCTCACCAAGGCGTTGGTCGGATAAAGGAACTGAGCGTACGACACCGTCTGAGGAGGAAACACAAGAGAATCAAACAGGCTTATCTGAATAACGTCAGGGTCACTACAGCGCTTTATACTCATCGAGCAGTTTATTAGGAACACCCGCACTCCTGCCTTTTCATAAGATTAGCCACTCAGCCTCAGCCAATCATGTGGCAGCAGTGAAGTCAAATAAACCATGATACAGGTCAGAAAAATGTGATCTCGTTCACTTTGAGAGTGACGTGATTGTTGGCATTAGTAAGGCTGGTTTGAATATTTCTGAAACTGTAGCTCTCCTGTGATTCTCTTTAGTCAGCGATGCCAAATAAAATGAAATAATCCAGAGAGCGACAGTTCTGCTGACGGAAACCCCTCGTTGAGGAGAGAGGACAGAAAAGCTGACAGGAGGGCTACAGAACCATTCCTTACAACTGTGGTGAGCAGAAAAGCATCTTACAATGAACAACACGTCAAAACATGAGGTGGACGAAGGACAGCAGAAAAACTACGTCAGGTTCAGAGCCTGACAGATTTATCAGTTACTTTCTTTGTCATAAGAAACACACTGAAGTCACGCCCCTTTCTACTCTAATCAATAGAGAGAGACACATGCAGGTGACGATGACAGGATGTAGGTAAATACTTTGGGTCCTATAATCTATGTTTGGACCTTAGTCCAGACATTTGTGTGTGAAAACTCCCTTAAACTGCTTTCAGACATGAACTGAACTCTGGATAATCTCCTGAAATTATCCAGAGGGGCTGTATGTGAGATGTCAGGAGATGATCCGGACATTTCACAGCAAACAAGTGGGCGTGTGATGGATGCAAAAATAAAAAAGAGTTTGTGTATGACGAGACAATTTACCTTGCCGCAGGCGCCCAGCTCCACACCCTCCAAGGAGGGAAGAAGATCTGCAGCCCCTACAGAAGACAGCCTCTGTCTCTGAGTCTCCATCTTCGTATCACTGTTCACAAAGAATCACATTTACGTCATTTTCACCACACACACACACACACACACACTGACCTTTCCTGAAAATGATATGGAGGGTGATGAAAACACAAAAGTGAGGGATGGGTGCTCTCTGCTTGGGATGGTGCTTCTTTTTGTACCTGAGGTCAGCACTCTCTCCATAGGGCAGCACTGAGAAAGTAGCGTAAAGCGACCGCTTGGCACAAATCAGCATGATCCTGCAGGACACAGCAAGTACAGGCAGACAGAACAGATGGAGCGTCAGTCTACAAGCAACGACAGTCACTGCGACTCAACTGCTTCTGTACGCCCGACGTTGATCAGCGCTGGAGCTGCAGCGACGGCGAAATCGGTCACAGAGCCACTTCTACTTGGATCACTCCCACAGCTAAACAACGATCGACTGCAATCTAGAGTTTACAGCAGGAGCCGGGAAATCTGAGAGCAGGACCAGCCCCAGTTTGTTGCCTCCCACATATAATCTTTAAATTCAAGTCACAGAGAAACAGCATGTGGAGCTGAATCATTAGTAAACCTACAGTTCACTGGAAACTATTTTGATAATCAAATAATCTTTGTATCTCAGAATAGAGTTGAATGGAAATGAAAGACCAGTTCATTTTAAAACATAATCTAAATATTAAAGTGTAAATTTGTATTGTAGTGCATAAGTTGACAAAATATAAAACATGGATCCAGTCGTCACTAGACATTTTATTGTTATAATATCTTTAGAGAGAGCCATCTTAGTTTAAAATATATCTTCACTAAACCATTTGGATTAGGAGTTAAACAAAAAACCTTAAAAAAGGGGTCACAAACATTCACCTTTCCTTAATTCATATATATATTTTTATCTCTGCAGCACAAACCAGGGCTGAGAGATAAATTCAACAGGAAACTAGCAAACAGGTTCCACTGCCAAACTGATCTCTCACAGTCTACCTAACTTCGCCCCAACTAGTGAACACAACAACACTCTTTGGGACGACAAAAACATCTCCACACAATACACCGGTCAGTCAGTAACATACAGTCGGTCGTCTCAGCAGTAAACACTCAGGTCAGACCTTGAGGGAGAGATATCAAATCTCTTACTGGGAACAATATCACTGTTAATCATCTCAGATATACTGTATAACCTTCATACCTGCAATGTGTACCTGCCTCAAACAACGACATACCTGCAGGACACTTAAAGATATCATTGTTTCGCACACACCCGCAGTAAACATGTGACTCATTAGCATGTGGGTGGATATGAACATGAATTTCTCTCAGACGGTGACGTGATGTGGAGGAGAAATGAAAAACATGGGGTCAAACAACAACTGTGGAAAAAGAAGAAACATCTGTGTGACGTGTTTATGTCAGTGACTCGGCATGAAAACAGAATCATAACAAATCCATAACCACGCTGTTGCTTTCTAACGCTGGTGGAGCGGCCGGCAGTGGGATACTTCGGTCCGGTCTTGGTCATGGTGTGACTCCACCGTTGGTGCAATGGGCTGTTTCAATTCCACTGCACCTCTTTTAGCTTTTGCTCCGCTCCCAGGGGTGATTAAATTCACGGTAGCAATTGCAACTCAGCAGCTGCACCGCTGTTAGTCGTCCGCAGACCAAACTAAATCTCTGCCAGAGTTAAGCAGCTTATTACAATAGTAGCAGGAGCAGTGTAACCCTGCCAGAGACGGCCTGAGTCCAAAATGAAACAGCCTTTGTCTCTTTGTAATTCTCTGACATGTAGGTGAGCGTTACTCATGTGTTCCTCAGCTGTATGTAAATGTTTAGTGTGTGTGTGTTTGTGTAAACACAAGCAGCAGCCTGACCTGCAGCCTCTGGTGTCGTACTGCCTCATGCTCTTGATGAAGTGGACTTTCTTTGGCGCCTTGGGTCCAGGAGAACCAGAGACGTTTCTCAACCTGAGCAGAGAAGAAGGAAGAAGTTAAAAATTATTTCATTCGTCAACCACACAAAGGACGTTCACAGGTTGTTGGTCAGTAATGTCTCAGGTGTGGATGTAATGTAACCGAGGACAAGTCAAACCCACCTTTAGACAAGAGCTTTAAGATGTGTGATGTTTTAATACTAGAGATTTAAAAATCTTTCATAGTCAAAACAATAATAATAATTATGAACTACCAATAATAATAATACAAGACAGGAGGATCAGTTTACATCAGAAAGAGAAAGAGAAACCACAAGAGAGTGAAAGTAGGATCCTCTCATGAGAACCGGTGGTTTTTAAAGGCCCGTGACTCACCTCTGACGAGACTCCGGACATGTACCCGCCGGTACCGGGCTCAGGGCGGCGGGCGTGGACTTGGCCCGGGAGCAGGGCAGGTGGCCGGTGGGCACCGGAGACAAGGGGGTGTCCGGGGTCTCGGACACATTCACACCGTCCAAAAATACCTCGTTGGCCCCCACGGTGGTGGCAGGTCCCGGAGACATGACCAAAGAAGGCCCGGTGGGAGTATCCACCCCGGGGACGCTGGAGGATGAGCCGCTGCCGGAGGGTTCTGTCACCTGGGCGGACGCTCCTTGGACATTCGGCGGAGAAGGAGAAGGAGGAGGAGGAGGCGTCGGCGGCGGCGGAGGAGATAAGACCGAGGCGGCTCCGTCTCTGTCCCCCGGCCGCAGCTCCTCTGTGGCGTCTCTCTGCTCCGTGCTCCCATCGTCTGAAACCCCCTGTGGCCGCCCGTCGAGTGAGATGTTGTTGAGGAACAGCAGAGCCGCCTGCCTCCGCCTGGAGTCCTTCGCTTTCCGCCGGTGCTCTCGGTAAGTCCTGGCCGGCTTCGTGCCGCTGCCGGCGGCCTGGACTCCGCACAGCGCGGTCGCCATTCCGGTTTGAAATGTGGCCGATGGAGGAAGAGGATACCGGCACCTCGGCCCCGCCCTCTCTGTGCGCTGATTGGCTGAGATGGTGTTTATGCAAACTGTACTGTAGTTTTCTTGTAAGCTGATTGGTTGAGAGACGCGGAACACGTTCCCGCCGCTCGGATTTGATTGGATGAATGAAAACAGTGGGAAACGTCTCAGCACTAACTCAAATAAAAACTGATTTTTAAACTTGTTTATTTTATGGTTGAAAAACTGTTTAATCTTGTG